GTGACTTCAGTTTGAAGCAACAATCCAAAGAATCGAGTCCTTAATTTGTTAAGTCTTCAACTCTAAATTTTACATAAGCTTAAGGGAACTCCAAAGGTCTATAAAAATGAGTCCTTTATGGACATGTATGCTTCATGCTTGTCATCAATCCGTTCTAGGTCAAAAGTGAAGAGATAACACCAAATTCACATGCATGGATCCAATACTAAACCAAATTCTAGATTTCAACCTTATAATACTCAAAGGACCCTTAGAATCCATAAAGTTTCCAAATTTATGAATTCCATCCATTCAAACTTTCTCAAACATGAAGGACATGGGAATAAAATTTAGATATAGCAACATAAGCAATAGATTTTGGATCTTGGACACTTACAAAGGTCCAGAATGAGCACTAGATAATGATGATGAAGTTTCTCTACTAGATCCACAACTACAATATCTTCTTCTCCTTCTTCTTCAAACTACCAAAGGCACCAAAAAGTCCAAGAACCATCAAGGGGATTAGGGTTAGGGTTTTTCTGAGGTTTGAGGGTGATGGAGGCTATAATGAACCCTAAAATTAACTTAGAGTGGTTTCAATATGAAGGAAACCCTAAAAGATCATGGGCTTGGGTTGCATCAGGTTTCACGTCGGGACCACCTATGTGCACGTCATGAGAACAGTTCCAAAATGTGTTTCTCATATTGGCTTGTCACGTCTTGACACTCGATTTTCTCTAAAAATCAAGCCTTTGACTCCTTTTAAAACCTAAATCGACCCATCTTGGAAAATGGGTGTTACATTATAATATGATAAATAGATATCCATCAGTTATACTTATCTTAAATACTCCTGAAGAGGCATGGTCTGATAAACCCTGGTTATTTAGTTTACGTATATTTGGTTTCCTTGCTTATGCTCATGTTAATAATGGTAAGCTGGAGCAGAGGGCTATGAAGTACAATTTGTCAAGGTTATGCAACTAGCGTAAAAGGTTATCGATTATGGTGTATAGTAGATGGAAGGACTCCAAAATTTACTATTAGCATAAATGTGACCTTTACTGAATCTTCTATGTATAACTAGGGAGGAGAAAGTACAGGTCTTGGATGGAATAAAGGAGTGCATATGGCTACACTCTCATATTCAAAATCTTGGCTTGATAATGGAAAATCTTATCTTTTTTTTCCTGATAGTCAGGGTACTTTTATAGTATAAAGAATCTGGACTATAATGGAAAAACAAAACTTATTAATCTAAGGTGGAATTTCATCAATGATGTTTTAGAAGAAAGGTTCTCTATCTAATAGATAGATACCAAACAGAACCCGAATGATATATATATATATATATATATATATATATATATATATATATATATATATATATATATATATATATCTATATATATATATATAGACAAAGTCATTTCCCACATAGAAGTTCAAGCATCTATTGGAATTGATAGATGTTCACAGGTGGTAAGTCTCTTTGGGGCACACTGGCAGGAAGGAGATGACTATTGGGAAATCCTTCATGGTTGAAGATAATTCAAGTCAAGGTAAAGATTATTAATATGTGACTTGGAATTTCGGTGACCCAACAAATAACCTAACCCGAAACGAAGTAAAGAAAACTCAACTGACTATTTCAAAGGGATACAGGGTTAGAGTAGGTTAAGTATTTCGATTTCACCAAGGTTGATGAGGAATCGATGTCACTATGGAAATCGATTTCACTGATAGTTGTAGAGCGATCGAACCTGAAAACCAACGCTACTTCACTTCCTCTCATTTAACCTTAATCGATGTCACTATGGAAAATATTGAGACTTTTTTAACTCTTAATCCATGTAGGATAAAACATAAAATATGCCATGTCATTACTTATTTTCTACTAATTAATTTGATCAGGTCATTTTTCCAATTAACCTATAAATGACGGTTACCACTAGGTGGGATTTAAACAAAATGTATACTTCGTTGGTGTTTTTTATACAAAGCCTTTAAATGATTAGTCTTTTTTGAACATGCAAAACTTTAATAGTATTTTTTTGAGTGTTTTAAAAATGTTCTTACCCTTAGAAGTCATTTTCCCATAACTATTTTATATCCAACCAATTTCTAACTGTAAGACAACGAAAATCCTATAATTTGATAGATCCCAACTACAAGAATCAGCTTGCATTATATACAACACATAACAATCTTTGACAATCATTCATAACCTTACCATGATTGAGACTATCTCCAATCCTAAACCCAATTGTCATTCTGAAAATCTGTAGGAGCCTTATGGTTTCCTATTTTCCAAGACATTAAGCCTAGAGAAACGATTAGTATAAGAGATTATATCCATGTAATTAATATCCTCCCAAAAATTCATGTTGTACTTATGTTACACGAGAAAACAAAAAGAAAACAATAAAACGACACATATATATAATATGGTTAGGTCGATATGACCTACGTCCATGGTCGGCCATGGGCATATGGATGATGTGCGACTGAACATGGTATGTGTCCTATAGGGGACCAAATTTTTATACGTATTATTAGTAGCAAAGGATTAGTGATAGATTATTGAAGAATTATTAACATATTAGTGGTAGATCAATGACACTTTTTGTCATGATTAATTTTAATGTAATTATTGACTTATCAATGATTATTTACAATATATAGGGAAACTGCATAAAAGTTCTTATATTTTGTCCTCATAATAGATTTAGTTCATATATATATATATATATATATATATATATATATATATATATATATATATATATATATATATATATATATATATATAAGTTTTTGTTTCAAATATGTTTTTCGTTGTATAAAATCGTATTTATTAAAAAAACACATTTACACGTATAAAATTTTCCTTTTTCTATATAAAAACGTTTTTTAAAACATTTTTGTATGCAAAATACCTATATAAAAACCTTTTTTAGGAAAAAAAAATATTTTTTCAATGCAAAATACCTATTTAAAAACCTTTAAACAAACACTTGTGTAAAATATGTGATTATACCCATATTTCATAGCAAAATACATAAATACATTCAAATCCATTTTTATAGAAAAATGTAAACAAACATCTATTTCATAACAAATGTATTTTTATATAATTATGTATACGAACACGTTTATCTATAAACACACTTTTATGCAAACACGTTTTTATACAAATGCATTTTTATGATAAAAAATTTATACAAACATGTATTTATATAAAGACGTTTTTATACAAGCATGTATTCATAAAAAAATGTGTACAAATACATTTTTATACACACACCCATTTCATAGTAAACGTATTTGTATACATTTATGTATAAAAACGATTTTGTGTACAAAAGTATTTATATAAAGAAATATAAATAAGGGAAATTGTCATAAAAGCCCTTAAGTTTTCCAAAAAGTGACGGTTTTACCGTTGGATGAGTTTTGGGAGCATTAAAGCCGGATACTTTCATTAAACCTATCAAATATCTCATTTAACAAGTTGGACCCTTTGTAGTCGGTTACTATGTGCTTATTTGGCACTTAATTGACATATCAAACAACGTGGGCCCCAAACCTCTCCCCACATAACCCTTCCCCACCCCCCTATTTCTTGCATCCTCTCGCACTGCAATATCCCACGCAAAATATTCTCCCACGCAAAATGCCAACATCTTCTGCAAAATCAAGCTCGAATTCACATTCACGATTCAAGAAGAAGATCGAAGTGAAGTGTTGGTGTGAAGATTTATGCCCTGTGTTTGTTTCACGCACACCATAAAATCCAGGCAAGAAATTTTGGGGGTGCCCTAATTATAAGGTAAAAATCATTTTCCCTTTTCTTTAGCAGGATTGCAGTAAGGGTATTATGCACTGACCTAATTATGTAGGGAGAAGGTGGTTGTGGGTTTTTCAGATGGGTTGACGATGAAGGAATTCAAAAGCAAGACATGATGCCAGAGTCAAATTGCATTACAGACCAGCGACAAATGATGGCATTAATGCAGATGGTTGTTGTTTTGTTAGGGGCTATATTGTTCATCCTTGTTCTAGTGTTATGCAAGATTTAATGGCAATAAAGGGTGTTTTCTGAAGGGAGTAGTAAAGGGTGGCTTTTCTGAAGGGAGCAGTATTGTGATCTTGATGGTATTTAATAGTTTGTTAGGTATATGTAATGTTAGGATTGTAATTTGTAATGTGTGGATGCTAATTGCAATGTATGGATGTTAATTTCTAATGTATGGATGTTAATGGATGTTAATTTCTAATGTATGGATGTTAATGGATGTTAATTTCTAATGTATGGATGTTAATGGATTTTAATTTCTAATGTATGGATGTTAACTGGAATTCAAGTTGGTTTGCAATGTATGGATGTTAATTTCTAATGTATGGATGTTAACAGGAGTACAAGTTGGTTTGTTTTGTAAGTATATTGAATTAACAATTGGTAATTGGTATAAATTTCTGAATGGTAACAACTGGTGAATGGTAACATTTGGTTTGTTTTGTTTTAGATTGAATTAATATGGTAATTGGTATAAATTTGTTGTACAAGTTGTTGAATGGTAAGATTTGGTGAATGGTAACTAGTGTTTTGGTGAATGGTAACAATTCTAAAAGACTGAACAATTGGTGTGTATTTGCAAGTTTGAATGGTAACAATTGGTGTGTATTTGCAAGTTTGAATAACATTGCATAAGATGGTATATTGCAGAAATAATTAGTGAATGGTAACAATTCTAAAAGATTGAACATAATATAGAAGGGAACATAATATAGAAGGGGGTGTATCCATTACATATAGTTTAATTACATACTACCAATATGTAGCAGCTATCCATTTGTACCAAAATGCCTAAACAATGCACAAAAAAGGCAACCTAAATGGTAAGAAAATTAACAATTGGATGCATGCTACAATCAAAATGCCAAAAAACAAAGTTTACAAAAGTGGCAACCTATATCATTCCCCCTACACCCCCATCCCCCTTCTTGCTAACAAACTACTCCAAGTTGATTGGCTTTATAGAAGAAAAACCACCACCATCTTTGTCATAGACACCCTTCCTTAGCTTTATCTTGGTAATCCTCTCAGAAGTTTTCCTTGTTCTCCTCCTAACCATTGGGACAACCTGATGTCCTTCATCATCACCCTGGTTTTCCTCACCATCATCAACATCTCCACCACCATGACCTTCTTCATCACTATCACCTTCAGGCCCATCACCATCATCGACATCTCCACCACCAGGACCTTCTTCATCACCATCACCAGCACCTTCATATCCAGCACCATGATCAGGTCCAACATCCAGACCAACATCATCATCCAGACCACCATCACCAGCAGCTTCATCTCCTGCACCTTCAGCTCCACCATCCAGACCAACATCATCTCCTTGTGCACAACTTCTTCCTTGGTACATCAATACTATTTCTCCTAAATCTTTTAGAACCTGCCTGTTGCTGATGTTTTCTGGGACTCATCCTCAATGTGTTATGTTTTCTTGGACTCCTCCTCACTGTGTTAGAGCATGAAGGTTGACTTGGGACATTTGGTTGACCAGGGCTTGTAGACACATGGGGGATGGGATGTTTTCTTGGCCTTCCTGTCTTCTTTGGTGGGGGTGGGACATATTGTTTTCTCTCATTCTTACATGCCCTCTTGTTATGAGCATATTCCAAACAATTACCACATCTGGTAGTTCTTGCAACCTTCACTTTTGTTGTTGAAAACTTTCTCTCCTTCTCACTGGCATGCCTCTTCCTTTTGGTAGCAGGCCTACCAGGCATCCTCCTAGACATTGGAGGCAATGGCTTAATGTATTCAGTTTGTGCCCAAAGATTGCTGCCATTAACAGGTTCAATGTTTGTTGAGTAACATTGCCTAAATTTCTCTTTAGAGAAGTATGCATTGATGTATGCATATGGTGCTTGGTGGATAAAATTAATTGCTGCATTTGCATGCACACAAGGGATGCCAGCCAAATCCCACAGCCTACATGAACATGTCATATCATCTAAGTCCACCCTATAACTGTCACACCCTCTTCTGGCCTCAAACACATGCCCTTGACTATGAATTATTCCCCAGAACCTACAATCAAGTATCTAGTTAGTAACAATAAATAATGATTAAGATAAGTTTTAGAAAACATAAAATAGTACCTCATACTTTTCCCAAATCTATTCATTTTTTTCAAAATTTTTGGACAAACATTTGAATTCCACTTTTCACTTTCCACATTCATGTAAGCAAACCTGTCCATGATATAAATCCATATCTCTTCAAGCATAGTGATCAAAGGTTTTTTCCTAGCATCCAATATTATTGAGTTGAAGCACTCTGAGATCCCATTCTCAACTGCTTCACATGCATAGCCTGTTCCAAAGTGGGCTCTACACCATGTTTCTAGTTTCTTTGACATCAAGTATTCATATGCAGAAGGGCTCAATTTCTTGATGCTTTCCATATGCCTCTTGAAGTCACCTTCTGTGCAACTCATAGAGGCAGCCCAAAACAACTTCTTATACTCCACACCTGTGAAAGCCTTTCTAAAGTTGGCATAAATGTGCCTAGCACAATTCCTGTGTTCAACATGAGGCAATATATCTTTCACAGATTCAAGCAGACCCTACCAGACAACCATTTAATTAGTTTAATAGAGGACAAATATGTAATAAGATAATTATGCAATTAATTAGAGGACAAGTATGTTAAATTTTACCTTGTGTTGATCTGATATCACTACCAAACCTCTTCCACTATCAAGATCTAAATCATCCCTTAGAAGCTCAAGGAACCATGTCCAGTTAGCCTTATTCTCAACATCGACAACAGCCCAAGCAATTGGGTAGACCTGATTATTGGCATCTCTACCTATGCCTGTCAACAACTCACCCTTTACTGCTCCCTTCAGAAAGCACCCATCCAAACCAATAACTCTTCTACACCCTCTTTTCCAGCCTTCACATATAGATTTGAAACCAATATAAAACCTATGAAAATAGTTTATCCCATCTGGATTGACAGTAACACACACCTTACATGTAGAACCTGGATTGGATCTTAACAACTCTTGTGCATAATCCCATATTCTGGCATAATGTTCAGTCAATTTACCTTCAATTAGCTCCTTGGCCCATTTCTTTGCCCTACGACATTGGCCTATAGACACGGGACACCTAAACCTTTGTCTGATGTCAGTAATCATCTCTTTAAGCTTAACCTTAGGTTTATTTTCAATTTCAATTATGTAGTGTCTACCTATCCATTCAGGAGTAACCATACAGCCAAGTTTGAACTTCCTACCACAAACATGAGTAGCTTCTAAAGTCTTTATTTGAATAGATCTTTCATTGAACATCCATGAGGCATATAGTCTAAAAGGGCAACAATTATCCTCATTTCTTTTCCCACATCTTACAACTATTCTTGTTCTGTCACACTTCTCAAAGTAGAGTTGATACAAATTGTGGACTGCGTAGTTTTGGATACAAAACTTCAGTTGTGTAACATTCTCAAAAATGTCACCAAGTTTTGGTTCCATTTTGTCCCATCTTGTTTTTGGATCATGTAATCTGTACTTGTTTATCACCTGTTCTTGCTCTTCTTCATCATCATCACTTTGCAAGTTACCACGATGATACACTTGTGCTCTTACATCATTAGTCAAACTAGAGTTTCTAATATTTTCATCACTTAGTAACACATTAAGAAATGCATCCTTACACTTGTCCAGTGGAGTAATGAACTCTTTGTCTGGTTCATGATCCATGTAGATGCCATGAAGCTCAAAATCCATCTCATTAAGACCAGAGAAAGGCTCGCGTAAACCAAAAAATGGGTCTGTGTTACCTTCGTGTTCTGAATCCCAATCCATCATAACAACCTGAAAAAAAACACAAACACATGTTGTCGTTATTCGTTAACCTTTGAAGAACAAAGAACTGTAATAACACAATCTTCAAAGAAATTACACATACCCTGTGAAATCGACTCTCCAATAACCTAATCTTCTTCAAAAACCATAAGCCCTAATTTTGAGATGAATGATGTCGACTTTCTGAAGGATTCTGAGAAAGTGTACGTATATGTGCAAAAGGGTGAGATTAGGTGGTGGGTAAACGGACGTAACGTCCGTGCCAACATGTCAATTAATTGCCAAATCAGCACATGGTAACCGGCTACAAAGGGTCCAACTTGTTAAATGAGATATTTGATAGGTTTAATGAAAGTATCCGACTTTAATTCCCCCAAAACTCATCCAAGGGTAAAACCGTCACTTTTTCGAAAACTTAAGGGCTTTTATGACAATTTCCCAATAAATAAATATGATTATTATGAAATAGTTGTTTGTATATGTTCTTTTATAATAATATGTTTGTATATATTTTTGTAAAAATGTGTTTTTATAAATGGGTATAATAATTTGTTTTACATAAGTATAATTCGCGAAATTTTACACAAGTACGTTTTTTATAAATAAGTACTTAGAATAAAAAAATATTTTAATAAATAGGTATTTTGCATACAAGAATGCTTTTTAAAAAATTAATTATATAAGTATTTTGCATACGAAAATGTTAAAAAAAACATTTTTATATATAAAAAAAGAACGTTTTCTATGTGAAAATATGTGTTTTTTTGTATAAATATGATTTTATACAACGAAAAAAATATATTTGAAGCAAAATTTGCAAAAAAAAATGTAAAAAACAATATTTAGGATGAATTTGCAAAAAAAAAAAAAAAAAAAAAATTGAAAACAGGGCCAAAAGTGTAAATTTTTGACAAAGTTAGTAATAAAATTTAGAATCTAGGCCAAAAGTGTAATTGATGAAAGTTAGAAGACCTGTTGACCGGGTCAAAAGGTCAAATTGAATACAATTCCTGGTTTTTGAGATTTATTTGAATAAAAAATATATATAATGACTAAATCGATTATGAGACCAAAACATAGGGACTTTTATGCAGTTTTCCCTTATATATATATATATATATATATATATATATATATATATATATATATATATATATATAGGGTGTGTTTCAAATAAGAACTACAAAAGATTAAGAACCCTAAAACCCTATTAATTAGTAAATATTTACACGATGCACTTATTAAACATGTAAAAATCCTAATTTTTTGTCTTTTTGATACGAAAAAGGGTAAAATTGTAATTTTTAAAGTCTAATATTTTTATTCGTACATGCTCTCATATTTTAACACAAAACTTATACAGTCTATTTAAAGTTTAATGCAAAAAATGCACAACTTAATACAAATCATTTTACAATAATTCACTCATTCAAAGAAGTCAAAAACTCAAACTCTACCACCACACGCCGCCCCCAACCACCTTTATCAGCATCGTAACCATCATTTCTTCCGAATCAGATCTATAAATAAAGTCATGCATCATTTCTTCCTATTAATTAACTTGTTTTGAATTCGATGCAAAATAATTATAAAAACTAGTAGATTCTTACAAATTTATACAACATAAAAAATAAAATATATTCGCAAGAAAATTAATATAAAAATTTATACATAAATCATTCATATTTTAATAGAAATTATAAGAAATTCACAACAAAATTCAGTCAACTCACAGTTTAAACAGAAAATTCACAGTTTAGTGTAGTCAATTCATATTTTTAAACACAAAAATCATTGTTTAATACAAAAAATTCACAGTTTAATATAGTCAATTCACAATTTAAGTAAAAAATCCACAGCTTAATGCAGTTAATTCAAAGTTTAAAACATAAAAATCAAATCTTATTACAATAAATTTACAGTTTAATACAAAATATATATATATATATATATATATATATATATATATATATATATATATATATATATATATATATATATATATATATATAAATTCACAACCATATTATCAATTTCAAATTCTTAATACAGTCAATTCACAGTTTAATACAATAAATTCACAATTTAAGACAAAAAATTATACATTCACAACCATATTTTCAAATTAAAACTTACATTTATACGTTAATATATATATATAGATGCATTTGTATGTATTAAATTGTGAATTTAATATATTAAGTCGTGAATAAAGTTCACAACGTAATATAAAAAATTCACAGCTTTGTACAATATAGTCACAACTCATTTACAAGTATAATATCATATTTCATTATATTAAACAACTCATTCATAGTTTAATACATACATAAATTATATCATAATTCAGAAGCAAATATCAAAAGAAAAACATATACATTAATCATAAAAGATAATAACTTGTCTGAAATCAAGGAAGAAGATGAGTGAAAGATAAAACATATCATTACTCTACCACCATCACCATGAGTATCAACACTGCCAACTAACATACACTAGGAGTGTGGATCGGGTAATATTTTTGGGTTTCGGGTAATTCGAGTCGGGTAATTCGGGTTTTTCATGTTAAAAAAATTACCCGTTACCCGACCCAAATTAAGTTTAGGTAATTCGGGTTCTGGGTCGGGTTTGGGTAATTCGGGTATTACACGAAATATATAATTTTTTTTAATAGCACCTGAAAATAAATTTAATGAAATAAATATGTTGTGCTCTATTAGTCAAACTTTGAATATTGAGAGTTTTTTGTCAATAATACTTGACATATCAAGTAATCTTTTAACAACTTAATCTAATCTAATAACATGTTAAAAAAAGAAATGATTAAAGATCTTAGTTTAAAAGTTTAAAATGTTTAAGATAATTATAGCCATAAGTTTTGCCATGTTCTGAAGTTTCGTCAAGATAATGAGTTTGTTAGTTGCAATAAAAACTATAATCTAGAAAACAATTATGTTTTAAAGAACATGGCGACAAATAAACAAATGCTTTTAATATTGTTGGTGTCATAGTTTCATAATAAAAGAGATTCATGTTTTACAATAATGATAGTTAGTTCAAGCGTGATCAAATACATGCTACAGAGTACAAACTCTACGAAAGAAAAAAAAGGAATTTTTAAAATAAATCGGGAATACCCGAAACCCAAAAAACGTACCCTATACCGGACCTAAAAAAAATCGGGTTACCCGAATACCCGAAAATTTTTACCCGATACTCGATTTACCCGATACCCGAAAAAATCGGGCAGATAATTCCGGTAACGGGTATTTTCGACAGGGCTAACATACACTTGTAACAACCCGTTATTTCGAGTCAATAAAAGTCAAGAAAAGTCAAGCCAAAGTCAAACAAGTCAATTACGTCAAACAAAAGTCAAATAATTAAAATTATTTGATTTAATAAATGGAAATTACTTTATTATATAAGTGTTTTAAATATTTGTGATTAAACTCACTTAGACCGAAAACCCTAAACATGAATTTATGCAAACCAAAAACACCACCAAGAACACTCGCATGACCCACCCACTTCGGATCGCAAACCCACCTTCTAACCGAAATCAGCTCCACCGAAAACCCCTTGCACCGGGAACCCTCCTTGACCGAAGACACTATGGACCGAGAACCCTTAATTCTCGGTTGAAGTTTGGACCGAATACTACATTTCTTGGTATGGAGGATAAGCCGAGAACTCTAACTTTAGGCGGTGGCACACCTCCCTAAGTGATAAATTGCACTTCCCTATGCATCTATCACATCAAATATTATCCCAATATATAAACACATAACCGAAAACCCTCCTCATTTCACTCATTTTTCCCTTGCAAATCCACAAAAATTCTCTCAAAAATCATAAAGGACCCCTTCACATCTTCTTAACTTACCTCAAGAACATCAAGAACATTCATTCCACCTTCATATACTCAACAAAATTTCCCAGAAAGAACATCACTTCAATTAATTCTTAGGACTTAATTTGGTAAGTTCCTATTACCTTTTAGTGTTTAATTAACACTTTAAATCATTACCTTATCTAATTTATATACGATATTATGTGTATAAATATTATTAGGATATGGCTATAATCACGTATTCTATCCCGAGAATCATCTGCAACCACTTCCTATCCAAACAAGCACACACACTCAAGGTGAGTTCAAACCCCTACGTTTTCACAATTTTTATCTTGTTTTACGGGGGGTGGGGGGAATACAAGTAAAACACAAGAAATATTGTGTTTAAAAATATAAATTGCTTATTATATTTTCTTACCGTTAATATGAAATTAAATGTGAAATTTATTAAATATGCAAAACATCGTTACTATTAAATTTACAAAGATTTACAAAAGTTTTCACATCAACGGAATAAACATATAAACTATAATAGGTATAGTTTATGGAACACGCGTACTATTTTACAAAGTTCAGGTCACAGTACAGAAACAAACATATAAACTATAATAGGTATAGTTTATAGAATACACGTTCTTTTTACAAAGTTCAGGTCACAATAAGGAAACGAACATATAAACTATAATAGGTATAGTTTATGGAACACATGTTCTTTTTACAAAGTTCAGGTCACAATACGGAAACAAAACAAACGAACAAAAAGTGTTTCAGATATTACTCGAAAACACGTTGAAGCAATTTGTGAGACGTCTTCGTGTACTTATCTAAGTACTGGTAAAAGTCCTGCCTTATAACCAGAGTCTCTTGTAGGGAGAGCGAGATATTCGTGTATAGATCTATTTGGGACAGACAATCCCACACCTTAACTATTAGCTACAGTTAGGCCGGCAGGCCTGTGGTGACAAATGTCATTAACATTCCGACGCTTGAAGAACGTCGCGATCAGGCCGACTGGGTTAGTATGGTTATAAGAACTCACAAGGAGAAAACAACGACATATTTACGAATAATATAATTTCAAGTAATTTTATTTGAATATTAACTTTACATTCGGATTTCAGGGCAAATATACTTTCAATTGTTTTAT